TTCTCATTATTTAAACAGGATTTTTTTTATCTGTTATTATTTGATGGCCGTCTTACCTAATGATGTCATGCATGTTTTGGCGAAATGCATCATGGTATTGATAAAGTATCAAGATGGCGCATGTTTTGTAAAGGCTACGAAGGATGAAGTTTCTTCTTGAAATTCACGATATTGGAAATCGAGAATCTTTGAAAGGGAATTACATGAGGTTCTTTTACATTAGCTTCAAAACACGTGTTTGGGAAAGAAGTCATGCTTGTTCGAAAATCAGCTTAAAACAATATAAACTCTATAGAAAATCAACAATAGGAATCAGTTTCTACTTTCATCAATCCCACAGTGCATCTCGGCCACGTTATTAGGAAAAGGTTTTATTTTAGTACAGTTTTTCTTGCAGAGGATGCCAACTTAGCCAAAGAGTCATTTCAATTCCAATCAAATAAAGAATCTTAATATAGATGTTCTGTGGAAATGTTGTTGTATGCCTCTGTAGTCATTATAACGTAATTGTAACGTGTAAAATTGTAACATTGTAACGTGTTTGGCTAATAAAACTGTGCAAATTTCTAAGTACAGAATAATTCGTCTTCTCATATTTGACTAGTACAATTTTTCACAATTCCTTGCAAAGTGTTTCTCCCAAGTTATGAATGCACTTTAATGCAAAACACACCTTTTAATCCAAAGAAACAGAGATCTGATTGGTGGACTTGGCGCTGGGAATTTCACAGACCAAGGAAGAGTATCATCAATCGAGCAGTGTATGAGATTGTGTTGTGAAATGGAGAACTGTACCGTCGCGTACAAGATTGGAACAAGTTGCTTCGCTGTGGAGTGTCGAAATGAGAGGCTATGTAAAACATTTACTAGAGATCTGTTAGATGTCAGTCCAGAGATTGGATTTGTGAATCGTTTTAATCATGATGGTAAGTAAATAGTATAATCTTTATTATTATTTACCTTAAAAGGTAATTACAGTTTGATTCACACTTTTTACACTGATTCTCGTCTTCAAAGGGGTTTCCATCGCACCTTTCACATTTACGGAAGCGACAAGACATCATCCAACCACTGGACCAACTACACGGCCGCCAACACAACCTCTGATAGACGTAGGACCTCTTATAAATACAGGTACTCTTGATATATAAAACTAATATTTAAACCTTAGAAGTAAGAGCAAGAATTTCTCTCTACCTTCATTTTGGCTTCCATTCATACCATGTATTCATCTATTCAAGCTTCCATTCTTCTCATTTCACTATCCAGGTACCGTCAAAATACCGACCACGCCCACCTGTAGCCATAGCGACGTATACCGTCACGTGACTCTAAAAGGAGGGCTCGAGGCGGGAAACTTCACTAAGCTTGCAGAGTTCTCCAATATTGCGGAGTGCACCCGGAAGTGCTGCTCTAAGAAGAAATGTGACGTTGCCATAGTGATGAGCAGTACGTGTTTTGGCTTGGAGTGTAAGTCCAGCAAGCTTTGCGAGACTCGTCCTGCTCGGCTGAAGAATTTCAAGTTGATCATCGTTTATATCCAGAGAAATACACCTGGTGAGTATTTTAAAAACTTTTTTTTTATAGAGATGATTCTTTCACCGATATCAAATAACAAAGAATAAATTGAAAAAACTTTTTGCTTTTTTCCATAGATGAAAAATCACCTCTCACGACCACCCRCCGACCACTCACAACAACGACAAAGCCACCATCGCTTGAAGATCTACTCGGCAAAGTAAACCCGACCAARCAACCAACCACAGTATCATTCCTAGCAAAGGCCCTTGGGAAAATTCAAACCATCCCATCTCCAAAACCAACAGCAAAGCCAACCAATAAAATCCTGTGTTCTCAAGGACTACGTATAAACAACGTCATTCTCAATGGCGGCATGGGATCAGGGGAGGTCACCCAGTACCTRAACGTATCAGACATCAATGAGTGTGAATCCAAGTGCTGTCAATCAAAGCATTGTGACGTAGCGTTCGTCATCAGTGACGTATGCTACACCATCAATTGCTATAGCCGTGACCTTTGTAGAACTCGCCCAATAGAGAGCAGCAAGTTCACGTCGAGGGTTGTATATGTCAGTAGAAACGGAGTGACGATGTTTAGTAGTGCTAAAGATGCGAGGGTTGGAGGTAGTGATGTCACGACTACTACACATCCTACCACCACTAATACTATGCCAACAGAGACACCTGTCAGCCTGGAGGATGGTGGAAGTGGTCATATAGAATCCACTGAACGACCTATCCCATACAGGTATGATATTCACATCYATCTATTATTTTCTACTTTAATTTATCGCTTTTAGTTGTCCTACAGTAAAAAAAAACGCATATTAGAATTATAAACGAGGCATAAATTTATCATTTTAAGCATCATTCGATAAGAAGCACTCCAGTCTGCAGTCTGACAAATAAACTTTGGTTCTTATACATGTATGAAAGCATGAAATTGTTGATTTATGAAATAGTGAAAATCAAGTCCTACTTATTTTGCACTCTAATAATCATTCAATACTTTTATAATGACAATTGCAGGTCTTCAAAGACGAACACCATACCTAAAGCGCAGGACTATAATCAGACCACGACCYTGCAGCCTCTACGCTGTGTGTCAGGAGAAAACTTGGTGAACGTACGGCTCAAAGGAGACCTGGACGCTGGGACGTTTGTAAAGAAGGGACTGGCGTCTAGRATGATTGAGTGCTCTTACTTTTGCTGCGAAGACAGGTCATGTGATCTGGCGTACCTCTTAGAYAACATATGTTATACCGTAAGCTGCCGWAGTGCGGATTTGTGTCAACCTGTGTCGTCATCACCGACGTCTATCAATCCAATAATCTCCTACGTCACTCGATATGACAACGATGGTAATATTAAGAGTAAGTGTTAGTCTTTTTCTGTTTCTGTTTCGTTGTTTAATGTTTAAGTTTTGCTTGTGTTGTTATAGTGATTTATTATTATTTTTGTTATTTTTATTATTATTGCCGTGTGATATATCAAGTCAGTTATCAAAAAAGGTTTCAAGGGATCTGTTTGGATTTTTACGATCATTCCTCGTTATTCACTCATTTGTTTGTTTTTTTTCTTGTTGTAGAAAACCCAAACGGTCCAGACATGTTTGTAATCACGCAAGCACCACCAAGTGAACTACCAACATCATCTCCTACAACTCATATGCACACCCAACACACTGATCCACCTACAACAACACAACCTACAACAACACAACCTACAACAACACAACCTACACCTGCAATACATCACCATACTACTCATCATGGTAAGTTTGACATTGTCATAAAAAAACGAAACAGCAATACTTAGTTACTAACGACATTGTTTTCAGAAATCAAAGACAACGAAAGTGAGAAACATGAACACGTCCATCACCATGACGACGAGGAAAACGAGGAAYAAACAAAAYAWCATCACCATAAAGATCACTRTYAGAAGAATCATCAKCATCACAAACAGCATCATGACGAAGATGATAAACCACGCAAACACGAMAYTCATCACCACAAACATCACCATGGAGACGGACACCATGACGATATTGAAGACTATCATCACCATGGAGATAGCCACCATGGAAACGGACACCATGACGATGATCACAATGGCGAAGAACACCATACAAAGAGTCACCATGGAGATGGCCACCATAAAAACAATCACCATGGAGATCACGATTCACATAAAACTACGCACGGAGGAAGTGAAAAGGAAGACAAATCGAAAGAAACAAAGAAAATTGATTCTATTATTTCCCGTCTTTCGCCGGATGACCTTGAAACCATTGCGTCACTGAATATCGCAGGAAATGGAGCCAGTCTAGAAGGTAAGAAAGTTTAAAGGTGTCCAGTTTTTCGATTGTCTTTTTTCTCTTGACAGTGAAATGTCTCCCATCATGTGATGATAGCTGATGGTGATAATCCGTTTGTGACGATATCATTTTGTAAACCTCTTTACTGAAAGTGTTTGTTTTCCAAGAAATAACACGATGTACCGCAAGTGATTATGGGTGCCAACATTACTGCATTAACCTACCCAATGGCGGCCACCGATGTATGTGTCACCATGGCTACACACTCACTGTCAATGGACGACATTGTCAAGGTATGCAATATTTAGAAAATTCCGGGAAAATGATAAATAATATAAATCAATCGATTGATYTAAAGGTAATGCAGTATTTATAATGTCCATACTATTATGTTGACAGCATTAGATGAATGTTATGAGGAGAACCATGGCTGCGAGCATCGCTGTATCAATACGTACAATAATTACACGTGTCAGTGTAACAGTGGGTTTATGCTGAACGCAGATGGAAAACATTGTGATGGTAAGTTTGCCTTCTTTTTCATTGAAATGAATCACATGAATATTCATGAATACTTGAATCACGTGATATTTGTGTTGTCCAATCAAAATCACTGACGTCATTTATTATGTTTCAGACTTGGACGAATGTAAGCTTGAAATCCATAGCTGTTCTCAGCAATGTCAAAACACCCCAGGAAGCTATAGGTGCTATTGCAAACAAGGMTACACGCTGGATACRGATAGGGTGACATGCAGGCGTAAGTAATAGACTAGTAATATCTTATATATAATATTCTAGTTTGAGTTCTTGTTTTCGTGATTTTTAATGGCCTTGTTGTTGGGACAATGTACTACAGCTGTTGTTGTTTTTGTTGTTACCTTGTTGTGCTAATTCTTTTTCCAAAGAAGATTCTCATTTCTCTGTCTACATTTGACGATTGTTTTATATTATTTCTCTTTCTTCTTTTTTTTTTTCATTATTCTTTGGTTAGTTATATGTTTTCTGTTGTTGTTTTTATTGCTGTTTTGTTTTTTGCGTTATCTATTTTTCATGTTTTTGCTTTTGCTTATTTTCCCCTTGCTCATCTAAGGTTCTGAAGAAATAGGAACAAGAAAGGACGACTTGATACACCTAGACCAGGGACTTCAAAGTGAGTTTAATATAGGAACGTGAATGGATGAATTGATGTATTGGTTTATGAACGAACAAAATTAGTCTCTCTTTTACAGAGGCCTAATACGAGATCGCACAAAGTCGTTCAAAAATACAACTGCGTCCATATTAATCTTGATCAATATCTAGAGAAATGTTTCGTGTTCCATTGATTGAAACATTGTATTTTGTAGTTCCTTCGATGATCGTCCAATCGCCCCAAGACAAGCAAGCAATGCAACACGAAACCGCCATCTTTCAATGCAAAGCACGTGGCCACCCCGCCCCTCATATTGCCTGGGCTGTGGGTCCAAACGGTGACCAACCCCTCCCTAGTGATGATCGATTTGGTTTGCTACCCAATGGTGCTTTAGTAATTCGTAGTCTTAACATCAGTGATACGGGTTTGTATCGTTGTGTGGCGTCGAATCCTGCTGGTAGTGCTGCTGAGGGAGCCTTCCTGAACGTTCAAGGTAATAGCAAATGCCAGTTCGCTGACAAATGATCGCGGGCGTATCAATTATTGTTTTTGATTGGTTGGTGTGTTCGCTGATTGACTAAGTTATGCTTGATTGATCACTTGATTGATTGATTAATGCTCGATTGATCGATGGATTGATTGATTGAATAATTGATTAAATGATTGATTGAATGAATGAATGATTGATTGATTGATTGAATAATTGATTAATTGAATGATTGGTTGAGTGATTGATTAATTGAATGATTTAATTATTGATTGATTGAATGAATGATTGATTGATTAATTGATCGAATGATTGATTGAATGATCGATTGATTGATCGATTGATTGATTGATTGATTTAATGATTGATCGATTGATTGATTGATTGATTGATAGAATGATTGATTGATTGGATGGTTGATTGATTGATTATTTGACCGATGGACTGATTGAATAACGTATTAAAATAAACAATATTGATAATAACAAGCGTTAATATTATCATAATAATTATCAATCCCCACAGACCAAGACGAGTGTTCTACTGGAAGTCATGTATGTGATCAGCAGTGTATTAACACTGTAGGCAGCTATCATTGTAGATGCAAAACTGGCTACCTTATTAACAACGATGGCAAAACATGTGACGGTATGTAATTCACTTTGATCAACTTAAAAACTAAGCTATCCTGGTTTGGGAATAGTATCCTAGATGCCATGTTTGAATAGTGATMCACACAAATGAAGAAAAAGAGTTATAAAAACAGAACGAACACCTCACCACGCAAAAAAGATATATGTTTCCGCGGAGCTCCCTCTTCAGGTCTTTTGTGCATGGCAATTTAACTAGAATATCAAAAGTGGGGTATTCGGATCATTCAACACAGAGATTACGAGGCTTATCTTATTTCTTAATCAAATGATTTATTAAAATAGTTCTTTTTGTCGAATTTCAGACATCGATGAATGTACTAACGGTAGTCAACGTTGTAGTCAAGAATGTCATAACACWCTAGGAAGCTATTTGTGCAGCTGTCACTCAGGGTACAAACTACATCCTGATAAATCGTCTTGCATTGGTGAGTAAACTACTATAGAATACAATACGTACTTTACAGCGCGTAGCATTAGAGGTATAACTATTCCACAGTGTTGTTTTCAAAGAGTTGAAATAACTCTACCATTGGAGTTAAGGTTACTCTACTGACCTGGTAGAGTCACTTGAAAGAGAGTTAAATCTACTCTACAATGCGAATAGTTTTTGCTCCAAAGGTTTAAATCAACTCGGAAAGAGAGTCAAAATTACTCCAAAAGAGGTTTAAAATTGCTGTTACGAGAGGAGTCAGAATTACTCCCCCAGCTGCAGCTAAAATATTGGTGGAGTTATCAGTTTTTAACTCCACTTTTGGAGTTATATCAACTCCTTGAAAATAACAGTGTATGCATGGTCACATGTGTTTCGTCGCTGGAGAMTGAAGAGAGGCTTAAAGTAACTCTTCGTAATAACGTGGCTTTCCTGCTGTAAGAAAGAAATAAAAAAATAGAAAATAGCTCAAAAACGTATTTTTGATATAACAGTATTAATATATTTACATTTTCTCGAGAAGAGCGGATCTTCTAATCGATCCTTTGTCTGTTCAGATATCGACGAGTGTTCTACTAGAGATCATGGRTGTTCTCAACTGTGTAATAACACYCAAGGAAGCTATGATTGCTACTGTCTTCATGGGTTCACATTYGCTGCTGATAACGTTACTTGTGTTGGTAGGTCTTTAGTCATGAAGATGAAAATGCACATCGTAGTTTTCGCGATACGATTTTAAAAACTCCGAATTTTAGTGAATAAGCCAATGAGCGCTTTGCTACACAACACTTTTAAATGTCTTTGACCAATGAAAGAGCGTGCTACAATAAGTTTTCTTTTAAGAATCGGACTTCTCGTATAAAATAGGTTTTCGCGCCATACGGTTTAAAAAAAACCCTCATTTGTAGAAAGATTGCTATTAGGCGCATTAACGCTTTGCTACAAAACTTATTTTAAAGCTACGCTAATGAGTGAAATTTTGTAAACAAAGTGGATTCTATTGCGTTCAAAATAGATTTCTATGACGTTATACTGATGTCTTGTGACGTAATTGTGAGAATTTAGTATTTAATTGATGCATTATTGATACGCTCCACGAAATTACCGMGTATTTTTGATTTTATATAACTCTACGTTTCATATRTTTCAGGGCAAGCATCTGTGGTTAGAAATGTTCAGAAGTCAACGACCTTATCTGCTGGTATGGCKGCGTTTGCTGGATTATTAATCGTATCGTGTGTTCTGGTCATGGTTTCCATTGTCTGTGGAATACACTCCATTAAGAAACGACTTCGTGGAGGACTGGACGACGAGGAAAAGGTAAAGAATTGTTTTACGCTTTGATTATGAGCCACTTGTCTTGTGTCATTTTCTTGCTCTTTTCTTTCTTTCTTTCTCCCTTTCTCCCTTTCTCCCTTTCTTCCCTTCTCTCCCTTTCTATCAATCTCTATATTATCGAATAATGATTGAATATCTATAATAATAATATTAATAGCATTACCAATAATATCAATAATTGTTTATTAATTGGTTCAGTACTGGGACAGTATAAATTACCCTCAACGAAGAATGCAATATTTATCATATAAATGCAAATAACTTCTTCTAGTAAAAGAAGCAACTCACTAAAGACAAAAAAAACATTAAGACCATGATTTAGATTTAAAAATTAAAAAAATAAATATAAATGATATTTTAAAATGTAAACATTTGTATTCCAGGCTTACAAGAAATCTATCTTCTCATGGCTCGAATAAACGTATTGACATATATTTTGTACTTTTTATACTCTTGAAGATATTTATCATAAGCACAAAAATTTGTATAAAGATAAAAGAAGAAAAGCCAGCAGTAAATATAAAGCATATTTAAGGTCTATTTAAGCTAAAGAAATYCAAACTCTAAGCACAAAAACACATTTAGTAGATCGCTGTTATATAAAAATAGTTAAAATACAACTTGAGTGACATGTTTATTTTGTATTTATTCCCATTTGTAAATGTTCTTTTATCAACAAATTTTTCTGGGTTATTTTCGTATGGCAACGATCTTGCAGTTAGATGTACATATAAAATATTTATAAATTTCTATATTTTCATAAATATAATCTCTGTAAATAATACTTTTAATAAAATGCAAAAAGAACTCGCTTTGAAACTGTGTATAACTGTTTCCATAAGATGATAACATTATTTTTATAAAAATCTATTTTTGTAACCAGCTATTTTCACKAATATATAAAAAAACTTGTATAATCTTGTACATAAAATAAACAATTTGAATGAAGATTGTGTATTGTATTTATATAATAGTAATTTTTGCCTTATGAACTCTGATTGGTCAAATCGGAGGGCGTTCGACAGAACTCAAAGTGCGGATTACAAGTAATTTGTAAAGATCATGAATTGGAAAATACTTTTGCGAATTATTCCAAATTGTTGATTATGAATTAATAATTATC